AAAAAAAAAAAATGAAGGAACTGAACATTTAAAAATCCACTTAAAGATGAAACCGTGCCCTTTTTTTTTAACATAAATAATTTAGAGACTCCAAAGGGACTTTTTCCTGTTCTCATGAAACATAACTTATTACTAAATCTAACATGTTTTGATAGAGAAGGTAAACTGAAGAAGTACATTAAAATGCATGCTCAGAGTGCTAGGGACACAGCTCAGCAGCAGAATGCCGGCACGAATGTATAAGGTCTCGGGCCCCATCTTTAGCACAGATTTAAAAAAAAAAAAAAAAAAAAAGCTAAAAAAGGCAACAAAATAGTTTGACCTTTAGCCAGTCAGGAACAAAAGGACAGTTTCTCAAGTCCAGTGTGGTGTCTCCCTCTTAGTTCTGAATGCAGTAATGTCCTTAATCCACCAATATAAATACCGAGTCTAATCAGTCAGTCAGGAGGGAAGTCTCACGATGCTTTGCAAGTTATAAGCAAAATCCTGACAGAGAGTTTTTATAAAAGGTTGTCATTTGAATCTATAATATTGTTTAATTACTGTACTTTACAATCACATTTTGTGCTGGAATTGTTCAATAAGCAAACAGAAGGTGAAACCCATGAAAATGGTGGGACCATGCACCCTTTCAAGATGAGCTTTGCTTTCTTTTTGATTCTGGAAGAAACTAAGTATCTTAATTTTTAAAATGTAAGAGGAATACCAGTCACCACCATTTCCTACCTGGGATCAGTGAGCACGGTTTGTACTTTGAAGACAGTTTCACAATATATTTTATAAAGTAATGAAGGACAACTGAGAAACTCTACAGGAATTGAAATATGGGGCGTGCACAGCTGTAAGCATGGTACTGGGCGGGTCGGGGGGGAGGTGGGGGGTGGGGGGTGGTGCAAGAGGACTGAGTTCAACACAGGGTGGTGCACAGCTACAGGCAGAGCAGTCAGGAGGCTGAGGGGAACATGGAGGACTGAGTCTGTGCCAAAACCCACAACAGATTAGGTACACAAAGAGAGCCGCAATGTATTTCAACTTCAGAAGAAAGCTAGCCATATGGCACACGCTTGTGACTCCAGCTTCACAGGCTTGTGTACAGCCTGCCGGATGACCATGAGACCCAACCCAAAGCACCAGCCAAACCAAAAAGGAGCTGCCTCAAACAGGAGTCTGTTTCATAAAGATGATTTTCTTTTTTTCTCTCTTTTTTCTTTTTTGGTGATTTTGAGACAGAGTTTCACTGTGTAGCTCTCTCTGGCTGTCTTGGAACTTATTTTGCAGATGAGGCTATTCTTGAACTCGGAGACCCGCTTGGCTCTGCTTCCCAAGTGGTGGGATTAAAAACATGCGCCACCATGCTGTGACTACTCATAAAGCTGATTTTCAGTGTAAACATGCAAGGCTAAACTAGAAAACCTTAGTGAAGGCTTCCTGGAGATGTTAGGATTATCACAGTTTGATGTTAACTGTAAGAACAGACTCGACAATTATCTCTTAACATATTTATCACTAAAATTCCCTGTGATGACACACACAACAACTCTCTAATGCATCTCTAAATTCTGTAGTAATTAATTCATGCTGGTTTGTCATACTGTATAGACTTACTTTACCTTAATGCAATGTTCTGTAACTTCCACTAAAAAATATACTAGAATGTGCTATTTAAAGGGATTCTATTTCTATCTGCTAAAAGAAAAGCTATCCTAAAATTTATACCTGATAAGAGTATCTTTCTAAAGAAAGAATCACTTCATGCTCTTCTATTTTAAATCTAACTTATTGGGTTGTATTTGTGTATAGTAAATAACTTGGGTGACATCAATTTCTATTAAAACTCCACCTCTGGAAAAAAGAATGGAGAACATTCATATACTGCTGCAGAGTGTACTTCTGAAAATCCACATTCCTGGGAATGTTTAATGAAATTATTCTTGCAAATGACAATTTTAAATGATTGCTACCTACCTTGGACTTGAGGGAACCTCCCCAGTTTTCATCCACAGACTTCAAGGATAGCTCCTGCATACAGCTGTAAAATGAAAACCAGGACACTTACAAACTGGAATAGACTTACAGAGCTGCTCTCTCAGGGGAGAGAGCACTTGGCAAGCATGTATGAGACTCTGGGGTTTCATTTCAGGCAAGACTGTGAAGAAGTACCATAATGTAAGCTTAGAGCAGAGCAGATATATAGAACCCCCTACCAAAAAATGTCAGAGCATTATAGACCAAGCTAGAGTTGAAGAGTCCCATAATGGTTTCAATTACTGACACCAATTGCAATTTGAGAATATAAACGCACAATTCCAGAAGTAAATGTTTGAAATTAAGCATGTTTGGGCAGCATGCTGAAATATTACTTTGCCCTGAACAAAATGTGAAATTGCTTTTCTGGTGTATCCATGTTATACATGCTATCCACCCGTAAGTCACTTAGTAGCTGTCTAAAATACAGAGTTCCACAACCTTGTGTTCAAATAAGTCAAGTTCAAGAATAATGTTACTGAACTAGGTGGTGGTGGTACACGCCTTTAATGCCAGTACTTAGGAGGCAAAGACAGGTGAACCTCTGAGTTTGAGGCCAGCCTGGTCTACACAGAGAAACCCTGTCTCGAAAAAAAACCCCAAAGAATAATGTTACTGGTAGTTCAGATACTGTGCACTCTGTACTAGTGAATTCCACTAAGCGTCTCGGATATACCCTCATAGGTAAGATGAGGAGTACATACCATATACTGAATGGCAGAGGAACTTCAGCTGTACTGGGAATGGACTGAGGAAGCAAGGGGGCTTGACAATGAATTTTAATGAGATGCTTTAGGGAAGTCTTTAGACTGCTTTTAATATCATGTGACCAATGGCTTAATATTAAACAAAAGTCCAACATTCAACTTCTAAAGGCATTTTTATTTATGTGCAGCTGTCTGAGTGTCTGTCACATATATGCAGTGTGCCGTGGAGACCAGAAAAGAACATCAGGTCCCCAGGAGCTGGGGAGTCACAGGATAATGTGAGCTACATGATGTGGGGGAGCTGGGAATCAAACTCAGATCCTCTGGAAGAGTAGCTCTTACCTCTCCAGCCCTCTACTACCACCATCTCTGAAAAGTAATTATTATAGGAAGTACTGTGTTAAAACAGAAAAACCAGTAAAAATCTCATTATAAAAGACTCAAATACAAATACTTTTCTTTGATGAAATTCAACTGAAACACTCAGTAGTCAGCATTGCTTTTGCAGCTACAGGAGCTGCACATTCTCTTTGGAGGAAAAACATCATAAAACTCAAATGCAAATCAGTGCTGTGAATTCACGTGAGACACAGCCAACAGTAGAGATCCTTTTTTTGTAGCAGCCAAAGCCTAACCATTCTTTTCTAATATTTATTTTATGTGTATAAGTGTTTTGTCTAGTTTTATGTCAACTTGACATAAGCTAGACTCATTCTGGAAGAAGAACCTTCTTTGAGGAAATGTCCTCATCAGACTGTTCTGTGGGCAAGGAAGTGGTGCATTTTCTTGATGATTGATGTGGGAGGGCTCAGTTCACTATGAGCAGTGCCACTCTTGGACTGGTGATTTTGGGTACTATAGGAAGGCAGGCTGCACAAGCCACCAGGAGCAAGCCAGTAAGCAGCATTATTCCATGGCCTCTGCATCCGTTTCTGCCTCCATGTTGCTGCCGACTTTCTTCAATGATGGACTATGGTATGGAAGTTAAGCAAAATAAATCCTTTCCTCCAAAAGGTGCTTTTGGTTGTGATGTTTTGCCATAACAATAGAAACTCTAAGACAGTTGGCATGGATGTTTATATACTATGTACATGCCTGGTGTCCTCAGAGGTCAGAAGAGGGCATCAGATTTCCAGAACTAAAGTTAGGGATGGTTGTGAGCCACCATGTGGGTGTTGGGAATGGACCCAAGACAAAAAGTTGGTCATGGGTTTTCTAACCAGACAGCTGGATTCCCAAACGATTTATAAGAACGAACAAAGGCAATGCTTCTAGGTCAAATAAAAATAATAAAGAAGTTATTGTGACATATCACACCAACACAGTACATTTATAAACTTGGTCCACGTCAGAAATACTCAACACTTTCCAACACTAAGCACTTACTATTTTTCCAGTGACAATAGCTATGGCAATAAATAAACACAACAGTAATAAACCTTGAAATAAACTAATTATTTAAGCACTGTTAAACTAAGATCAAAGTTTTCACACTACAAAGGAGTTGAAGTTTTTACTGTATTGTTTCCTCCAACATTTTCAGATTCTTTTTTTTTTTTGTGCTCAGTACGCTGGAAACAATAAGTTCATTATATGTGGACAAATAATGAAGACACTATTCTGAAATGTAATAGAAACTAGTTATCAGATTGTATGTTTATGCTACAAAACACATTAAAAGTATTACATTGACCCAGATCAAGGGAGAGAACTAAACTGGCAAATAGACTTCCATACATTTAAATTAACTATGTGAATTTTAATTATCTGCTGGTCCTTTCTGTTGTTTAAGGCACTCCACACTAAGCAGACATTGTCTTTCCATATCTTCTGCACTGTAAGGAGATTGAGAAGCTATCATTTACCTTAAGTTAGCTCTAAAGGAGGGGTTGCTCTAAATGAGAAAATCAATAGTCCACTAAAAAGCTCAATAAAAAGAACCAAAACATCTCCTCCTCATTGCATTTTAACTATGAAAGCTTTGGAGGAAGGGACTAGGTTTCCTTCAATACTGTGATGAGTAGGGTTTGTGGAGATAATGAACAGAATTTGCCTGTAAATGTACAAGAGTGTGTAACGGGCTAATGGTGGTTCTATTAACTTGACAGGAGCTAGAGTCACCACTGCCTCAGGCCTGTCTGTGTGTCTGTGTGTGGAGATTTGGTTAACTGAACATATCCCACACATCAGATATTTACATTATGATTTATAACTGTAGTAAAATTACAGTTATGAAGCAGCAGTGAAAATAATTTTATGGTTGGGGTCACCACAACATGAGGAACTGTATTAAAGGGTCACAGCATTAGGAAGGTTGAGAACACTGCTCTAAGGGTTTACTCTTTTTAAAAAGATAGTATAAACTACAACTATGATAGAATGTTTGAATAGTATGCTTAAAGAGTTGATGCTAATCTATTAAGCTCTTAAAGACTGCATCTACTTTCCATATTAAAGACAAGTGTAAAAACAAATATTTCCAGTTCAAATAAATAGCTACAAAGTAAACTTCAAAACTTTGTTGAACATAAATATGTATATAAACATATCTATTAATTAGCTCTGTGATCTTAGACAGGATGTCTACTTAGAGCTCAACTATGAAGTGAGAAATTACTAGTGTGATAGTGACCTATTATGAGGATATTACAGGAATCAATTTACTTAAAGTACTTTGAGATGAGGTCTCACTACACAGCCCTGGCTGGCTTAGAACTTGCTATGTAGACTAGGCTGGGTTTGAACTCAAATTCCCTTCCTCTGTGCCGCCATGCCTACCACTTAAAGTTCTTGGAGGAGTGCCTTCATATAGTAACAAGTTAACAAGTGCCATTACTGTAAGTGTCTATCTGTACCAGTCAGTGCTGTGCTACACAAAAGGCTGTGTGGGTAATGGTTACACTGGACCTGAACTATTGCCAAGCATTACTCATATTTAAAAACGCCTTTGAGAAGAACACTTTTATGTTACACTTAGAGTCATCTGCTTAAGATATTTACATTTTGTTCCCTTTGAAGAAATCAGTTTCTGTAGAGGCCACTTTAAGCAGCATGCAATGTCTTGAGTGATAACAGTGTCATGCAGTTAGTTTAGCTCCCTCTTCAGCCTTCTGTGTTTCACACAGTAGCAGCACGGTGTCTCTGACAGGTTAGCACTTAAGCCTGCCACCTAGACAATGCTGTTCAAGTGGACTTCTGAACCATGCTGAAGTTGCCTGTATTTCCTTATAAATTTAAAAGAATTGTTTGGGAGAGAGGAAGGGGAAACTGTGCTTGGGATGTAATATATGAGAGAAGAATTAAAAAAAAAAAAAGAATTATTTTGGTGCCCTCCTTTTCCAAATTAATAAAAATTATGTAATTTATTTAAAACCTTTTGTTTAGACCTTAGTTAAAGTAAAAACATGTAATATATTTTTCAAGACCACCAAATAAATGGTAGTCATAGTCTGTGGTAAACAAACAAAAAAAAAAAGATTTGATGATTTTAAATAAAAACTAGTAATGGAATTCTATTAGTTGTTCTTCTTAAACTGAAGGTCCAGCAGGGGGAGACCTTAAGAAGGTCATTCAAGTCTTTCATGTTTAAGTCATTCAATTTTTTACAGAAACTCTGTATAGCAGGAATTACTGTTGACATTTTCAAGATGACATCAAACAGTGCTGTGGTTTAGAACTTTGGCTCAGTAGTCAAACTGGGATGAATTAGGGTCTTGCACCTAAAAACCCTAGAACTTTGGGCAGGCCTCACTCTAATTTTTTTGTTTGTTAAACAGAGATCAAAGTACATGACAGGCTTCTTCTGAGGATTAAATCAACAGTGTAGTGAAAATACATCAGACACAACTCGTGTAAACACTCAAGGGAGAGTATACGTAATTACAACAGCACTGAAGAACGAGAGACAGAGGGGGGGAGGGAGAGAGAGAGCGAGAGATATGAAACTTCAATGTGTATTGTCTGTAAATATCAAGAGAGAATTTGTACATAACAGGGGAAATGAAATTAGTCCATTCATAAAAGCAGTGAAGCAGAAAGAACAGAGCATTCAACTACATTCATAAACATATTTACTATGCACAATATTAAAGTACAATGCAATAAAATAGCAGAAGATAAACATTATTAATTGCTTTTCAATTATCTGCAAAGATAACCAAGTGAAAATACAACCCTTTATCAAATACCTGAATTGCTGAGCTATGCTACAGATAAAGTCATGGGTAGGCTTCAGGGCTCTGGATATGAGGATTTAGTAGAGCTGTGAACCACAGCAAGAGATTCCAAATTCACACAA